CTTATTTTATGTACAGCAGTTAACTGTAGGCCATACAATGCTATACCAAAACGTAAGATTTCTTCTATGAGCCTTATGCACCAGAACGTTACCCAGGAAACTGACTATTTTTGGCTTCCGTTTTAAGTCTTTACTTTCTCAACATCAGGTATTTTATGGAAATCAGGACAGTGACACAGTTGTAAAAAATGTGCTCATTCCACCAATAACAGCACGTTACATTCGCCTGATGCCTGTTGAGTGGCACAATCATATATTGATGAGGGTGGAAATCTACGGCTGCTCAGGTATAGTAACCGCTTCTGCCCATGGAGACACATTGGGTGCGATACCTGATAGAGTGTGCTATAGCTAATACGTCTGCTAGTCAATTTCAAAATGCGCTCAATTTCATAAAGGTAACTGAATAGACTGGAGTTAAAATCCAACGAGCGGACAGCACGTGATCGATTAAAAATCACTGATTATGATTTTAGACCAAAATTACATTACACGACAGTTAATTGTTCCTCTTTCACATTTCTTACATCACTTTTTTTTCTACAATTTGATTTTTTGCAGTCCACTTTGCAAGCTTTGACAGACTAGTTTTTCTGTTTTAGTTTTTCATCAGAGGAAAAATATAGTGTGAACCTTGTATACTCGATATTGCTGAGAACCAGTCAGTGTCAGAGGATCGCCAGTGATTCTAAACAGGATGTAATAACAATCATCTTCTTCCTCCCTTTCATATATATTTGTTTTACGATGAGAAAAGTTTGCTCGAATTAGTTTTCATTTCATTAGGTTCCCCCGGCGTCGTGCTGTTACGGCGAGTTCTTGTGCATGTTTCGATTTATTTACTTAGAGGAGAAACAGAAACCAGAATTTGAAACTTTATTTGACCTCCTAGTGTTTACCGGTTCACCAACTGTATCACCGTCAGAAATGACGACAGATGCTAACAAAGACAAAGAAGGGGGAATACTCGGAGCGCAACAGGGAAACAGGAAAACAGAAGGTGCCGCTGAAACTGTTTTCTAATTGTTGTGTCGTCTCGTCATCCGACGCGTTAAAAGAACCTAACACGTCGTTTGTGGCGACCCAACAATCACCGCAGAGGAAATTATAGAAACTGGGCAGCATAATTCATATTTTTCTCACCTACTCTTGTTCAGGGGTTTACCAATTTAATCATCATCGTGTTATGTTTCTTAAGTTGATTTAAGCTGATTTTAAAAAAAGGTTTGGACTTACGTAGAAAAAGGCAGCAAAGGATCTAGTTGACTGTGATTGCACAACGAGCATGCGAATGGTTAAGCTAAAGTGGCATTGGACGAAGTTAAATAGATAGTTACGGCTGGAACTATATGAGCCTCTTTACATCACACCTGGTTGGCGAAAAACCCAGGTTGAATCATCGCAAAGGTTGAACCTTGTGTAGTTATATGTATAAAAGCGTAGGAAAGCAGGAAGTGCTCTTACCGAGTGGTCATTATGGAGACCAAGGTTGACTTGGCCAAAAAGCCAAAATTTCTTTTTTTTTTTTTTTTCAACACCGGCCCAAGAGCTTCCCTAGGTTTCTGATGTTACTAAGTAGCTTAGTATCTGTTTCCTTTATCATCTAGGGTCATCACCCTACCGTTATTTTGTCGAAATGGACTTTGTAATTTTTTTTGTTGCCTTTAAGCCCATAGTTACAGAATTTTGGCCAGCAGAAAGGTTGATCCGAGTCAGTCTCGAGGAAAAATACACCTCAGAGCAGAAAAATTACATGCGTTCGAGAAACACGAATATACTGTGTATAGCATTTTTCAAGATGATTAAGGTGGGCTAAAAAATCGAGCAGGTTAGGTTGAAGAGGTCTGATAATACCTCCCTATCTTATTTTCGTGGCATGACGAAAAAATCTTTCTTACTAGCTCTTTCTTTTTGAGATATGAGGAAAACCAATTCCCTTCACTCGGTAGTTTTACAGACGAATGCTTTTCATTTTTTGATAGGCGTAAACGTGCCTGCTGTGGTGTTACCCTTGGTAATCATT